CTATCCATCTATCCATTTATCCATCTATCTATCTCTGTGTCCCTCTCTTTTTCCTTCCTAGCAGAAGGATGCCATACTCCGCGGTTTCTGCTAATGAACCGGCAAGCCTTTACGGTGGTTTTATTCTCTTGCGTCTTACGTCACAAAATCCATCGGCAGTCAGCACGGTACGGCCTCGCTGAAATCCACGTCGCAACGGCGGTCGGACCGCCCCCTGGCAGCGTGCTTTCGAACCTGGCAAGCTGGGCTGCATCGACTTAACGAGTTTTTTCTCCGACGATAAAATCTGACGTAAAAGTTAGCCGGGAAACTACGGGAAAATTGTCCGTTCTCTTTGCCCCGAGCAACACGCTGTTGCCGGTCAATCGAAAACGATTTAAAAAGAATATTCAGACTGTGTCGGCGATGGTGATACCAGCCAATAATTTGCAATTCTGTTGATGCGAATTTTTACAGAATTTTTACAGAATTTTTACGATTTTCACGGTCATTTTCACAGAGAATCAATTCTCGTTAAAATCGTAAATTGTATAGCGTTACCTGTGGACGTTTGTGCAAGGCCAAGGGTTCCCATAAAACTCTTCGGGGTTTCTCGTACATTTATTGCACCTGCCGGATCCGTCCTGAGCCCGCAGGTGTTTAGGAAAGTGCAGGATGCGACCGTTCGCGGTCTCACACTCGAAAGGGCTGTTGGCTTCTCGACATTCGAATATTATCTTCTTACTAGTACTAGCATATCCGCGCGATCCACACCTGCCCGTCTTCTTCGACTTGGATACTTCTGGAAACCACGAATTTTTGTACCGCGCAGTCCTTTACAACGACGCGAGAGAGCTTTCTCGACGGAAATTGTCGCCCTCGATCCAACATCAATATTGAAAAATCGAAATAGTCGAAGCTCGAACTTGGTCGATTATTTCTTACTTACATCACCGATAACCTATCTCTCCTGTACGCATCCGATTTTGAGAAAGTATCCAGGAAACTAAATACCTACTAAACGTAGAAACGATAAACGTAGCTTTCGTCTGTCGACGAATGAAATGATAGGGTTCTGGAAATGATCTGGATCGGAAGATGGCGATGGTCTTCTTCTTGCCGTTGAAGCTGCATATAACAGTCGCTTCTCCGGAGATGACTTTGACGTCGCATTTGGCAAGATGAATGTATATGGAGGTAGAAATTTAGGAAATCGATGATACGATGCTTCGACAGCGAGAGGTGTCCCGAAGACGAAGACAAAGACGAGAGGTGTCCTGCCAGCAGCGATCCGAAATCCCCTCCAGACAACGAAACACCTGTTAGAAGGCAACGTGAGATGGATCTGTTTATTTTCATGCTTATCGAAGCATCCTTTCTCGTGGCACACAGTGCTCTACCTTACCGGACGCGTTACCGAGTTCCGAAGGGGGCAGCACGTATCGACCTACGACCTGCAGTTATCTACGACTTCCGTCGAATTTATTTACTCTTCGATTCGATTAAAAATCATTCGGTGTTTCGTTCCCAAAATATTATAGCCCGATAAATGTAACGGCACATGCAAAAACTAATATGCGAATGTCGTTGAATGTTACATTTTTCCAATGAGGTTACCATTTTGTTATTTAGGAATTGCAGTATATTTTATTCTTTTTATTAGGCATTTCTTGACAAATGTTGTATCGTCGCGTTTCGTTTAGTTTGTTCGGCCATGATACACTACAACTCCGTCAACTCCTCGGGTATCAAAGAGTTTTCCTGGTAAATGCATAATTCGAATTCGTTGGTGGGGACTGTCTCGATAGACAACCACCTAGAGATACTCGACGTCCCGTACTTAGAGTCCGTGAAACCAACAATAATAGGGAAAATCATCGTAATATTATAGCCAGCGGATAATACAACCAAGAACGTTCGTCGAACAAAGCGAACTACCAAGTCGAATGACTGTGTCAGAGGATGACGTCAGCCACGGTCTTGACGCCGTTTTACGGTAACATTTGCATCGGTTGGATTTGAAATTCCGTTTTAACACTACACGATTATACGTGAGTTTGATCGTGTTCTCAATCAGATTTGATCGCCCTATGGAGTAAAAAAGTTGTCGCGCATGTCCCATATCGCGATCAGTCGCGTTATACCGTTCCGTCTACAGAACCAAAACGTCGAAGAAATGGTTTATAGCTGTATCGGTTTGTTTCGTTCCTATTTCGTAAAATTGAACGTTTTAATTCGGCATAGCCTGTTACGACGGTAACGTCAGGAACGTAAGACGAGGCACGCGCACCATCGACATCCTCGTTTCGCAATCCCCGTCGGACGATCAAAAATGCTGAATAATCGGCAACGAAGCGTCGAAGCGTCGAAGCAGCGGCTCGCAAAGAAATTGATCGCAGACCGTTGTTCCGAGTTTCGATGCCCCTGAAGAAGTAGCGGCGTCGAGAGCAGAGTCGCTGGTCTAGAAGAGCGTTCACCTCGCGTACGAGGATGCAAAATGAACCGATACAAATTTAGAACCGCCTTCTTTCTTCGTTTCGTAATCGGTTAAAAGGGGAAATGTTCCTCCGTGAGTAATCCTCGAGCGTTTTTCCCCCGTTTCGCTCGGCGTAGGAAGTTGTCCCCGTCAAAGCTGGCCGGCTAGCTGGTCGGTTGGCATAGTCGGGACGTGTAGTTTAAAATAAACATCCAAAACTTGTCTCGTTTCGTTTCGTTTCGTTTGGTCTCGTCCCGTGTCGTTTCGTGTCGTTCCGTGTCGTTCCGTGTCGTTCCGTGTCGTTTCGAGATGCCTTGTAGGTCGAGACGTCTAGCCCTGTCTCATCTCCGTTCGCGCGAAACACAAATCCACTTTGCTCTCTCCAGGATGCGCATAGTTGGTGAATCGCGGGTACGCATATAATTCTAATCTGCAAAAAATATTAGAATCGACGAACAGGTCCGGTTGCTGGAATCACGCGACTGGACCACCGAGCCCTGGACGCGAAGCCTGAAAACCTTGGAGCTCAGGGCCATTATTGTCTGGTGGGGCCTTTGCCTCTTCCCTTTCCCTTTGATAGCCACGGGAGTCTTTCATCTGCTGAGACCCGCCAGAAGGAGAAAGAAGAAACGACTGGAGGGGGAGATGAACAGAGAAAGAGAGAGAGAAAGAAAGAGAGAGAAAAGTTCTGCGTGCAGCAGGAGAGGCTGTTTCTTCAACGATCTTGAAGGGGCTACACCTCGTAGAAGATACGAGCCACGGTTGCGACGTCGCGACCAGACAAGAACCGAAATTACATTTCCACCGAGGGTTGCCCTCAGACGCGAGGAGAGACTC